AACAAATTGTTCATGGCGAAGCAGGGGATAAATTGTTTGTGCAAGAAGACACTTTTGAAAAAAAATGCAAGTAATTTTATCTGACTTATACGATGATAAAGTCAAAAGAAAAATAAATAAACACATGTAATAAAAAATAAATATTATTAAAAATCAATGTATGTTCCTGTTGAAAATATAAAATTATAAAAACAAAAATTCATGGCGTTTAAGGATTGTCAGAAAATTACAGACTCTGCTTGATTGAGTCTGTACTTGAGGAATAGTGGGTAAAACATCCCTCACGCCCCTTAAAACAACGGCTTGAGCGGAACTCAATTTTAATACTTTAAAGTGCCGGAATCAATGCTCCAGAAGTATCAGAAAAATATAACAATACTGAAGTGCAGTGCGGGGCATTTTTTACGAGTGCCACACGGCACTTGACACTGACTGTTGTGATGAATAACTATCTTTATAAATATCTGAAAAAGCGATCCCTCGAAGCATTTTAATCAGCAAAATTACATGAAAATTGTACGCTCGGTTTAATTTAGTCTGTACATTAGGGATTATGAAAAGGAGCAGCATCCCTCACGCCCCATAGCACCGAAATGAGAGGTACTCAATTTTCAACACTTAAAAGTTTATTTAAAGTACAAAAACCATAGGGACTAAGATCCGATGAATAAGCCATGGGGGATGGTACCCCTGTTTGTTTCCTTTCTAGTAACTCCTGAACCAGCGCGTACTTGTGAGCAGATGCGTTGTTTTGAATTAAGCAAAGGGCTCTAAGTCGGGAACTGGAACTTAACCATAGCTTCATCAGAATCGAAAAATATGGTATTCAAAGGTTTTCCCCACACATTTTATTCGTTTGGCAATGACTGGTCTATCTTGGTCTTTGCATTACCATTGCTTATTCTTGACATTTTTCTTGGTCTCAAAATAATATACCCAAGTTTCATTACCTGTAAGCAGTTAAAAAATTCTCCGATTGTCAAATGTTTTGTACTTTTTTAAGGTATTTAGCATTTTGTACATGGGTGGCTTTTTGTTATGATGCAGAACCCATCGAGAACCCATCGAGCACAAAGTTTTTTAAGTTTTGACTCTTGAGTCAAAATCTCATGATCTGACCCCGATGATACACCAACACTATCAGCATTTTTTACATCTGTCTTTCTGGTATCTTGTTTAATTAGATTTTTCCAAGGCAGCAACATTAACTTTGGTAGCAGAGGTCCTAGGCTGACCCAAATGTTTTATGCCAAAATCAAGGTCGCGGTTGGTAAACGGTCAAGAAGTACACAATTATGTTTCTTGCGAAGTCCTGGAGTAAACTTTCTTTACACAGCGTAAATATAGGAAAAACATGAAAATATTCTTCTCCATAACTGCAGGACCTAGTATAGAATACTATTAAATTTGCTTAAATCACGACCTTGTGGTCAAATTCATTTATGCCAGGGGTCACTTCATTTTACATATAGGAAAAGCTAAAAAAAATAACTTCTCCCAAACCGATGCCTATAGCTAATTATTTCTGTTGTAGCCTTGTTTAGACCAGTACAAAATTTATTCAAATGAAAATTTAACCCACCCCTAGGGTTAACTTATTTCATATGGAGACCCATAGGAAAACGTTTTAAAATCATATTTTTTTCTAAAACTAAATGCCCAGATCTTAGATTTTGGGTTAAAAGCATTGTCAAAAAAACTTTAATTTATTTTTCAAATCTTGACAATCTGGTCAAAGTTGACCTAACCCCAGGAGTCATTTTACTTTGTGTTATAAAGAAAAGGCTTTGAAAACTTTCTTCTCCATAAATAAAATGCTTTGATATTTAAGTGTGAAGCATTCATTCTATGACCATATCAATTTATGTCACGATATAAATCATATAATACACAACTTCTAAGCTTGGTTAAGTCATGATCCGTTTGATTATAATTACCTTTCCCAGGGGTCAATTGATTTACATAGGCTAACTTATATATAAATCCTTTATAAAATCATCCCTTTAACCCCATTGTTTAGAGCATGTGAAACAATTTCTAGAAGACTTTTACCATGTTTCTTCAAATCATGAAAGGGCCGGGTCTGGGTTATACGCCAATTTCAAAACTTCTTTGTTGATAACTTGAAGGTCGGATAAACTATCTGACTTTCATGGATAAATAACCAGAAGAGTAATGACCAATTCCTACTAAGCTACAGTACTAACTTTTTTGACAGACAAATGATCGTAAAACTCAATGTCCGAGATCAATTGTTGTCTGTGGAACAAGAGACGCCTGGATTTCACATCCGGCACTCTCCGTAAAGTGCTAAGTTTGCAGGCATCAAATAATGATCATGAGTCTGGATTAAAACAAGAGCCGGTTGAACCGGTTGATGCTCCATGACTAGGTTTTGGACACACGCGACTATATGCTCCCCCATAATTTTTCGGGGAGCATAAAAATGGCCCTGCCTAGATGTCGATTTTTATATAAAAAAACTCTTTATGTCAGAAACCACAATGCAAAACCATTTGGTTGCAAGAACTGTCTTGTGTTCTTCTTTGATTGTTCAAATCATGGCCCCACTGGTATAAGGTGACCTAGAATTTAAGACCTCGTGAACTACTTTCTTGTTTTTGAAGCTAAAGAAATTTTGATAACAGATACAATATGACATGCCAGCTGACCTTAATCTGTTCTAGTGATCTCTTTGTATTTTGATTGTAAAATTTTAGATGCAGAATTATACACTGAGATCAGTTGACCTAGAATTTCATCTAATGCAAGCATGAGTTTCATAATACAAGCTACAACCAAAAAGTTTGAACTCAACAATAAATTCAATTGTCATTAAAATTTGATATTGGTTGACCTAGAATTTGAACCAGGTAGAGACCTATTCATTTCTGGTTTTAGCTACAAAGTCTTAAATGTTTACCCTATGTACAGTTTCAAACATTTGATAATGTTTATATACATTTCTACCTTAAGACTGCCTTTTACTTATTATTATCACCATTAATTATCCTTTCCAAACATACAACATTCACATTTGACATGACCTTTTTCTATGTATAGCAGTTTGAAAAAAGCAAATGCATGATGCAAATTCTTGAAATAAATTTATTCATCTAATTTCAAAATATCGGCTGTTATCTGTGTTGATAATTTGCTAGAATTAAATGTGACTTTTTGAACAGGCTCAATCAAACCGAGCCTGCATCATTTTCAATTTTGTCGCGTTGGGCTTTCTTTAGGGATTCTTATTTCACTCTATTCTTTTAATGTTACATTTATTTTTTCAAATTGTTACCATGGCTTTGTGCACAGATTATCTATCTATAAGTTTGTGTCATTCTTAACAACATGCTTTAAATGCTAAAAGTTGAAAGTGTCATTTCATTTCATTTCATTGTGTCTTTCATTTTACTTCTCCGTTGCCATGGCAACATAACATGTTGAATATTGATTAACAAAATATCAGTCTAAGTTTCTTAATTATTTATAACTTTAGGTACATGCCAAAGTGCAATACATGTTGACTATACATAGTTTTGATTATCATAACAAATCAGTAAACAAAATACAGAGACTTATTTTTTGTTACCCCACCCACTTCAAGAATATCAGAATCCACATTATTTTACAATAAAGATAAAAATAAGGGTGGTATTAGTATGAATGTGTTCAAACCTTATAGTATGTGGTAAAAATATTCATTTACACCGCTATGCCTTAGCTGGTAGGAAAAAATGTCAGCCCCATATCAATTTTTGATAATTTTTGAGAATATGAAAAAATAATGGAAATGCCTCCATTTTCATATTGTTCCAATAGGATGTGAAGTTTTAACATCACCTGTACCAAAATAAATACAAAAAAAGAACTCATTTTATCATATAAATTGCGTATTAGTCATTTTCAATAATTTGGCGGCCATCTTGGCGGCCATCTTGGATTTCTGAAAACGTACCATGATTTGACATGTCTACCCAAAATTTTTGTAAACTTCAAACATTTAGCTTTACATTGGTATAACATTTATCTATGGACCTTTTTTGCACACAAAAGGTCCTCGGGGACTGTACTAATACGTCTGCAGGATTTTGCGAAAAAATTGTTTAAAAAGTGTTGGTTTTTTTTTTACGTCCAGACGTTGTTGACACAAAGTTACACAACCGAAAGTATTCGGATTTTTTTAGGCACCTATTAGTGCACAACAAAAAATATAATAAATTGTTGTAAAACATCTAAAAACTCAATTTTATGTTTGTTTTGATATCAAGATCATTGTCATAATATGAAGTACACAAAATTGTGTTTATATGCACATAGTGCTAGCCGAATTGTGATCCAGTAAAGTGTACAAATTGGTTTCTAAACTATTTGAAGGTACCTGTTATAGTTAAAATAAACATAAATTAACCACGATTATGGTTGCCCGGTAAAATACTTTTTTAACAAACTATCGCACTTCCGGGTCTGTGAAACCTTTTTCTTCGGAAATTTTGAAGGTGTATACTAATATAGATAGTTTCGCAATTGTCGACCATCGACAAAACGCGAAAGTTCATATCCGCGAATATAAATTGGGTTAAAATAGACCTCTTCCTGAAGAACAGAGCTAATGCCTCTTCTTTTAAAAGTTCTTTTAAAAGGAATACTCTAGATATTGTTTACTTCATAGGAGCTTACACACTAGTTTCGATATTATTACAGAAAGATAGTATTTTAATTATATACATCTATATAGGTAGCCTTATGAAAACATAGTGAAAGGCGTGCCATTTCGGCGCCCCTTTTTGCGATCTATTGTCGTCCATTTTGTTTTCATGCGGTATCAATTCTCTAGTCCTGGCTTTAAACAGGCAGTATACGGGTAGAATAATAAATCTTGTTAATCGTATATGTCGCGCCGTCCAGTAATGGCAACAAAGACCTTTCATATGATATCAGCATTTCGAAAACAATAATTTTTGAGCACCTATTCTCTTCAACACAACTAGCTCTTTGTGTAAAGTTTTTATAATTTTAATTCGGAAGAGAGTACATCGGATACACGAAAAATGCAAACAAATATAAGAAATAGTCTGGGTATTATAATGAATTCATAAAAAATCTACTTTAAAATCACATTTGAAAAGTAACTGTACAATGTATCAGCAAATATGTATTTGCTGGCTTTTTACTGTTAACTACTTCGTACAAAAGAAAAAGGCTTCCTTATCAATATCAATCAGTGATGATTTCGCATTGATTTTGAAGTTTGCATCTAGCAATGCCTTTTCAATATTTTCTTTACCCCAGCAAGCACCATATCCTATATGGGGTTCCTCTGACATACTGGATTGTAGACATATGAAAGTGCTTACTCCATAATACAGTGCAGCACCTTTATCATCTGCATTGTCGACTGGGTTGCTATGAAAGCCTATCTCTATGAGACTGAAGAAGCCATCTTTCTTCAGAACTTTGTAGATTTGTCCTAGAGCTTTGTGGGGGTTTGGTAAATCATGTAGGACATCATACACAAACACATAATCGAAACTTTCTGCCCATTCATCCGGTAAATTGTGCGCATCACACTTGGTGAATGTTACATTTGTTAAGGCTTTTTCCTGTTTACTTTCGTTACAACGCTTTAGACTTACTTCCGAATAATCTAAACCAATGAAAGTAGATTTTGGAAATCTTTGCGCAAATGCAGTGACATAGTTACCAGTTCCGCATCCTAAGTCGAGAACTTTGATGCCAGATTCTGAAATATTTCAAATACTTGTGCACATTAAAAATCAAAACATCTGTCTGACCAACAACTGGAGAACGTTGAGTTTTGTGTGGAGGTCTGTCATGATAAGTAAATAACGCCTTATTATTTTTTGGGCGAGTCCGTTATGGAAGTTTAACATGGAACATAAAACAACGCCTGTCCGACGAATAAATAGAGAATGTTTAGGCATACAGAAATGAGGTTTGGTACGGAGGTTGCTGAAAACAACTAGACCCCCCATGTTGATTTTGGAATCAGCCGGTCAGAGGTGAAGGTCACCGTGACAAGTACATAGACAAGTACATATAAGTTTGGTTTAAAACGTTTCACTCTAAAGTATATCGTACAAACTTCACGAAACTTTTTTTCAATACACAAAGGGTAAATTTAACATAAAGGAATCTTCATTGAATAAGATTACAATACTTACTCAGTTTCGAAACCGCTCCCTGCTGGTCAAGCAAAGGCAAAATTTTCTTGTCTACTGTCTCATCGCATATCAATGTCCTGTAACCGTCAAACCATTGGAAGAAATCGGCTCCTTCTTCGCCATTGAAATTTATACCTAGAATAGATCAATCTTGGACATAAACGCGAAAAACACGTTTTACATTTAGTCTATTTTGATTTATGAAGCGACGCTTACCAACAAATAAGCTCACTAAGTGAAACTTTGCCAAAGCAAAGGATTTAGATATAGATATATCAGCAAGTTCATTAGAATATCTCATTTAACTTAAAAAAAGCAATGTAATAACAAAAACAATAGTGTTTTCTTTTACGTTACAAAATAATTTGGCTTGTTCAAAAAACCCGAAATATAAAGAGTCCTGGTTACAGCGACATTATTTCCTCGTTTTAAATATCGGTATTTTATTGGCAAGTTTTGTCAAAATGTTTCATTCGAACGCAAGCAATGTAATTAGTGTAATGGAAACACAAGGATTTTTGCTGCCTACTTTATAAGAAAATTGAGTCTTTTCAAAGAGATATAAGAAAATTTTTCACCATAAGGGCCGTCTTTTTTAAATGTCTCTTTTACCGCCTTCGCCCTCATCCCCACAGAAAATAAAGCCGGCGCAAACCCCATGTTTGTCATGATAATTTCTTTATATTGCTCGGGAACTTTGTACAGGTTAGAATCTCTGTCCTGCTTTATGATACTAGCAGCAACCATTGTTGACAACCATTCCCTCGTGTACCTGTAATAATGTGAAGAAGTTTTAGTGATATTCATTGACTTACACACATCAAACATTACTAGTATAATGATAATAACAATAATGATACAAATGTGAAGAAGTTTCAGTTTATATAGTTGGCGAGCAAAACAGTACACAACGGATAAAACACCATATTTATGTCATGTTCAAAAACTTTCATAGGGGTGCTTTTTATATTATTGAGTTTATAATGTAAGTTCAATACTGAATATATTGCACGAGTTAAATAACATCATATTATGCGAGCCTCTGGCGAGCATTATATTATTTTATTCAAAGAGTGCAATAAATTCAGTAATGAACTTACACGAATTTAATATTCTATTTATTACATACCCAAAATAAAGACCGTTTAAAGTGAAATAAGAGTCATTTTTCATTGACGCGCCTATAGTATAACGCTAACATTTAGCGCGTCTTTACACTATGTTTGTATATCGCTAATGACGTCACGTCAAAATATATGCACGGCCGTGCAATACCATATTTACGGAGTCGCAAAATCGGCGCGGGTGTGTGATAACATGTTTTCTTAAAGCCATGAATGTTTGTTTGATTTATTGGGTTTGACGTCACACCGACACAGAAAAGGTCGTATGGCGACATTCCAGCTTTACTGGTGGAGGAAGACCTCAGGTACCCTTTCGTGCATTATGTCAAGCAAGAACGGGCACCTGAGTAGAACCAACGACGTTCCGTTAGCTAGCTGGATAGCTTCCCCACATAAAAGAATGATGAACGAAATGTTTAACATGAAACTGTTGGTTGACAAACTCGTATGTATACTTGCGATTTGATATTATAAAAGCTGTTTAGATAACTCTTCAGGGTTAATTTTGCAATGTATAAAAGTGTTCTTCATGCCAATAAGACCTATGTCAGATATAAGACCAGTTCTTACGTCAGATAATGTCCGGTTGAAAAAAAACATTTATGAAAGTTTTTCAGACATCACATTCCTACTTTATGTAGACCAAGATCTACTCTCGATTTTCTTACCAAAAAAAAAAGACAACCATTTTATCTTTGTACTAAAATCGACATGATTCGTTTATCAGAGAGAGTTTAACTACGAATATACATTGACTCTTTTCAGAGAAAGATAAGAAAAACGTTCACTATAAGGCCAATAAAAGGAGGGCACTTTGATGCCCCTTCTATTGTATCGCTTAACTGACTAAAATGACTCTAGATGATAAGGAAAATTAATGTTGAATGAAAAGTAGTTATAACTTCAAATTTAGTTCAACTGATATCAATGTTGAAATCTGTCACCAAAACGTTACTGATTGCTATGGAAAGACAATAGTTGTTCACTGGTTGCTAAGAAAAATAAATGGATGTAAATAAAACCATTTGTTGTTTTGGAAGTCTATATTTGCAAAGTAAAGTTATTGGTTGCTTTGAAAGCCATTAGTCGTGGTTTAAATAGAAATCACTAGGAAAGAAGGCAAGTCAATGGCTGTTTATTCAATTTTGACACAAGGGCTATGATTTAAACAAACTTGGTAGCAATACACTAGACAATGTTCATGCCAAATTTTTAAGCTCTAGCCTTGCATGAACGGAGTAGCGTATTTTTCCAGGTTTTTATAGTAATCATATAAGGTAATCCCATGACAATTTCGAGTCGATTGTTTTAATTCTAAACACGTTAAAGACCTACCACACGATGTTTCTTATTAAATGTCTAATTACAAGGCCTTCCGAAGATTTTTTAAAAACGATATGTAAGTTCCTGTGACATACCTATGCATCAGACTTGAACTATTTATATAATTTTGAACAGGACCAACTGAAGGAATTTTCTGTGAAGTTTGGTCAAAATTGATGAGTGGAAAATAAGAGAGAAGAGATAGTTGATAACGATAAACGACGGACACACTGTTATCATAAAAACTCATCTCTAAGCACTTTGTGTGTAGGTAGAGACTCTAATCTAGAAATTGTTTTCATTACCTCTCTTTAAAGTCTAATTTCTTGGCCACTTCTTTACTGCTGATAGGTTCCTTAGCTTCACACATGACCTTGAACAATCCAAGGTCATGCCCAAGGCCAATTGATAACATGATGAATCCATCTTGGAATATGTTTGTAAAATATTTGCCAAATTCTGCTTTGTCCATTGTTGTTGATCAAAACTGTGCATGAAAGATATAATTATGAAGGTAAGTCAAGCATGCATATAAATTTACTTCGACGTAATATTTTTTTAAGAACATACATAAGAAAAAGTTAGCCTTTTATTTTGCTTTAGACTGTAACACTTGTTACGTTATTTAAAGCGTCTGAATATAATAATTTGTCTTTGAACAACAATTCCTAAGCGCTACTATCGAAGATAAAAGGAAAAAATGATTGCAAATGTCGTCTGAAGTTTGATTTTAAAACTAAAACATTGAGTTACATAATGTGTAAGAAAATATCACACAGTACATACTTGCAAAAACTACATACACTACTCTACACGCACACAGTTTTAACACAATATTGTCTGTCATAATAGTGTTAAAAACGAAAACTGTTACTGCATTCCGTTATTAAACGTAGACATATGGAACGCCATTTTTATCTTAAATCGTTTGTAAATAGTTTTATGGTGATATAATGAAAAACCGTCAAACCAAACAAAACATGTTATCACCGACATCCTTAAGCGAGAGATGGTGTCTGGGAGACCTTCTCAGGAAGTACCTTATTATTATTATTATTATTATTATTATCATCATCATCATCATCATCATCATCATCATCATCATCATTTTTATTATTATTATTATTATTATTATTATTATTATTATTATTATTATCATTAAAAATCCATATATACGACTCTGTACATATTGCTTTCCAGCGACCGCCTTAATATGCGCTGATGCGAGACAACATGCATAGATATTCATATCTTTAGTCCTTGAAAAGCTGTATATTAGACTGCAGTCCATATTGTCATTCAAGCCGTCAGCCCTTTTGACAAATAATTTAACAGTAAATACAAAGATGGGCTCTTAAAACTTTCGTCTACATTGACCAAAAGAAAGGTCATGACCCCTGAGTAACGAATATGTTTTACATTTAGATTGTGTATAATTTTGATTCTGACAAAAAGTATAGATTGATCAGTTGAACTTATGACAAATACTATGAATTACCTCAGACTTCATTTTATTATTTAATCACAATTAACTACTGGAATTAATTGGTCGATTTACACATTTTGGCCCTATCCTCTCCTCCCCCTATTCCTAAGGGAACATAAAAATAAAACTGAAACAATGTACGACAGCAATGGCGTTCCATAAGTATAAATATGTAAACAACTGCAAACAGCTAGTTAAGTTATTTGACTTCAATATGCATGTCCTAAAATCAGTACAATAACAATGTATCTATTTACATATTATAGAAGATGTTTTTATTTGTATGCTAGATAATACGTTTGTATTAATTCGGAATTACAATAATTTAACAGCAATAATGACATTCATACTTGAACAATATATATCTTGAACATTTGTAAACCACTTTTCACCATTATAACAATCATTATAGAAACTTTTACAATATCTGTAGTAGCAATAACCAGTATTTAATACTTCTTTAACTGCATGCATTTATTTTAACACTATTTTAATATCATTTTACAAAAACGTATATGGCTTCTTTGTATTTCAATTGACTTACTGTAACACAATACCTATATAAGTTACGTAATAAAGAATTGATCTTACAAAAGAGTTAAATGGTTTACTAATTTTTACGATTTATAAATAATTTAAATAAAATATTCAAGGCTTTATACACAGCTTTGCCAATAACTGTTCTTGATTCAACGTAAACGTGCTTTAAAGTTGCATACCTCCAGATTAGCCAAAAATATTTCAAGAAAATAAAACTTGAGAAAAATGCACTAAGATTTTACGATTTTTTTTTTTAAATCAAGATTCAAGTTATTTATATGTTATGTGTTATAAATGACTGATTTTTCAGTATTTACCACAATATTTCTACTACTTGACTAACGCAGTCAGGGCTATTTTTGCATATTTTGACCTATTTTAGTAATTTACAAGACATTACTGTTTTGTTTACTTCAATGTTTTTTTTTAGTACATTTTCAAAATTTTCATGAAAATTAGCATGATTCTGGAGGCATGCGGCTTCAATAGTTAAAGATATAATACCAAGATAATTTAGATCATTTACAAAATCTACATTTACTTCATTATACAACCACTTTTTCTTTCGGTATTTTACTTTTGAAAATGATAAGGGATATGGCTTAAAATAGCATGCTATTCTAAAGCTTAACAAGCAAAAAACAACAATATTATGCGATAGGAAAGATTGAGTATCAAAACACTTGACTACAGATTGCCAAGTGTTTTGATGTCTTTTCTCATTTGTATTATAGGCAAAAACACAACAAAAATCCCTGTCGTCACAATACAAAACACCAGAAATGTAAGAGCATCTGGATATGATTTTGTATCATTATCCCTTTCCTTGTCGTCTTAAAACTTATACCTCAGAAAAATGTAGCCAATTAACTAGCAGTTTATCCCCGACAGACAGTGCGGTAACTAGGGTGCAGGTAACTAGTACCTGAACGCCATTCAACGCAACGTGCTTTTGTGGGTATACAATTTAACCCTGACGCAATTTCAATAAAGAAAGGTGCAGCTCTTTTTATTGTCTTCAGTAGACCGAAGATTTACAGATATAACACAACACAATTTGAAACTTGATTTTACGATGGTTTTTTTTAGTTGAAATTATCTGGGGAAAGAATTATTTCAAAATAACAGAAGATATTTTGCATGTGTCTGAAACTGGTTATCTAAATGATATTTAGGTCTGCTTACATTATCTAAGAAGATGTAACAAGGTAATGATATTTAGGTCTGCTTACATTATCTAAGATGTAACAAGGTACATCTTTACAGAACAACTCAGTCAAAATTGCACAATATGCGCAAAGAAGGCCACTTAATCATGCATTTATATCAATTTTGACAAAATGGATGTGAAATTTGAACACAAGCTTATGTGGAGATTGGGATTGCTTTTAGGTTCCCACCGGTTTCAATGTCAATATCATGGTGACTGAAAATGGAATTTATAAAAACGGGTTCCAGTTGATTTCTACTGTTAAAATGAGATATTGTAAGTTCAGGTGTTGTTTTTTTTTTTGTTTTTTTTTATGCCTCGCTTTGGATAGCTTTTGAGCTTCCAGAGTTAATGTCATTATCATTAAAATGTAAATTATTTCTGATTCATATGACAGATATTGTAATCAAGCACTTATAACAAGCTTATGTGGAATTTCGGTGTTACTGCCTTAATGCCTCATTGTAACATAAATTGTATCATAGATTATTTGCTATTGTTTATCCACTCATGCCATCAAGGGCCATAAGTTTTGTTTTATAATAAAAAATGAATGTTTCACCCACAAAGCACCGTGATCTAATATATTTTCACGGAGCACTTGTGAGAAAAGGGGATAATTCCACCCATCATTGTGTAATTTACAGAAACTCAATCCATGACAGACGGCCTACTGCTAAAAGAATCAATGTGCACATAATGTACATATACTAGTACTATCAGTAGTTCAGTTTCGCACAGTTCTGTTCCAAATAATCCAATGTCGTTTTTCTTTCGAGAAAACCGGCAAGTCATTATAAAATGAGCTGCAACAGATGGTTGGACACATTGCATTATACATGTAATATCAACAACAAATTCAAGTGTCAGGGTTTTTTCAATGAAAACGACATTGAAGACAACGAAACAGATCCTGTACAACAGCTTTCTACTTAACTGTATTTGCGGATATTTCAAGCAATCACCAAAGCATCAGGTTATTGTTAAAGTATACAAAATAAGGAAATATTTTACCTGAATGTACGAGATATCCTATACAAATTGAAGCGCATTTCCCTCAAACTGTTATTATCAGCAAGGCCGTTATGCATTTTGATTGTAATGTAACCAAACACCCTGTTAAAATACAGTGCCGTCCGTAACTTAGAAAATTGATTTGTGTATAATATGCGTAACCCTGTTTTATATACCTAGTAAACTGACTGTTTCTTAGCTTAAATGAATGAAAAAGGTTTCAAAAATAATATAAACTTATTCATATTAACAAATTTTGAAGGATATCAAAAATGGGATTAAAAGGTTATGCACGTTTATACATGTATGGTAAATAGTTATGTACATCTTAATATATTTCTAACCTGGACATGAATATTTGATTGTTTTTGGTTTGTTATTCTATTTTTCATGCACCAAATTCAAAATTGTTTTAAAATTAATATTTGTCCAAGTATCATTGTTCTTGTGTGCAGGATAGCGTAAAGTGTTTTTTGTAATGTCGACCTCAACGTCTGTAAAAACTTGTGGTATAAACCCCAGCAATCCTCCAGATTTGAAAATGTTTATTCATTATACTTTGACTAAATATTACTGTTTGACAGAGGCATAGTTAGTACATGCGAAAGATGCTCAAACGATTTTCAAGTTTCTGTAAAATTGTAAATGCGCATAAATTGACGTTATTTTTTTCTTCGCTTTTCCTAAAATTACTTTATTATCTATTTTGATTACAGTTATTTATATTATTTATACTTTTAAGTTACAATAAATATTTATGAATTTATTTGCACATATCAACCAAAATGAATTTTCTAAGCCTTGTCAAGGTATTTATGGATAGTATTGTATATTTCATCGAGCGTAGTTATGCATAAACAACATTCTAGGTTAAAGCATGTCCTACATTCTACCTGGTTTAAATGTAAACATGTAAAAAACAAACGGTAAATGTATATTTGGCAACCGTAAAATTATGTAATTGATACAGAACGAATCTTTCTTTAGAAGTTTCTTCTTACAGGCGCTTTGCAAGGATAAACAACAAATTGTCCGTGGTGGAGTCGAGTTTAAATTGTTTGTGTAAGAAGACACTTGAAAAAAATACAGTAATTGTATCTGACTTATACGACGATCAAATAAAAATAGGTAAATAAATAAACATATGTAATAAAAATAAATATATTTGAAAATCAATGTATTTTCCTGTTGAAAATATAAAACTATAGAAAAAATATTTTCATGGCCTTAAGGAGTATCAGAAAATTGCAGACTCGGCCTGAGTGAGTATAGTGGAAAAAAAGTACAACATCCCTCTCGGCCTTTAGCAACGGCTTGAGCGGAACTCAATTTTCAACACTTAAAAGTGCCGGAATCAATGATCCCGAAGGATCAGAAAACTATAACAACACTGAAGTGAAGTACGGGGCTAATTGTTAAGGCTGCCACAAGGCACTTGACACCTACTGTTGTGATTTATAAGTATCTGGAAAAAGTGATCCCTCGGAAGCATTAAAATCAGCAAAAGTACATGAAAATTGCAGACTCAGTTTGATTGAGTCTGTACATAAGGGACTATAAAAAGTGCATCAACCCTCACTTCCCCTAGCATCAGCTTGTGGAGTACTAAATTTCCAACAGTTAAGAGTGCTAGAATCAATGATCCCGAAGAACCAGAAAAATATAACATAAAATATTTACTATATTTACTTAAAACAAAACTCGTTCAAGACTAAAACCGACTCTGAACATGTATTGCGTCAATGTTAAATTGATATGGTTTTGAACAAATTTGGTAAGTTTCCTTACACAATGTTAAAGGCCGTATACGATGTGACAGCCAAAAACTACTGATTAGAAAAGCATGTGGAGTATATCTTAAACGATTTGAATAAGTAATATTGGTGTAAGGAATCAATATTTTTATATGATAAAGAATAAAATAATTTTCTCTGGAGCTATTTGCACACATAAATCATTTGTATTCTGGTTAAATGTATGTTGACTGAATGGTTAAGTACCATTTCGTTTTTCTTTTTCTTTTTTCGGGAGTGAAATCTCATGTTAATGATAAATATACAGTAGATAGATATACAGTAGCTTTGTTCCTAAAAATTACCATCCGATATCTATAAGATTCATTTTTCGATAAACTGAATTTACTCCAGAGTCGCGCAATCAAGTTTGCTACAACTTTCCGTTTGTTTCTTTATTTTATAAATTTTGTAATCATATGCAATATTGGCAGTATTATAAAATAATAACATTTTTCACGTTTTATTCTTTAATTTAATGCAAACCGGCCTTGATTTACAAACATAATCAATTGTGATAAATAGAGATAGACTTTATGTAAAAGTACACTACTTTTAATGCAACAATAACAAAAACATTAAGTACAAATTATATTGTTTTTGTTTGATAAATTGATAAAATAAGAGTAACGGGTTTACAAGGGGCGTTCATTTAAATTTGTCACTGTGATTCTTTAAACCGCGTTATGAGGCGCAGTCATATACCGTTTACTTTAACCGTTCGAAGTATTCACCCTTAACAAATATACATTTTTCTTGCCTTGAAATGCACTCTGTGAAGGCAGAAAAGTACGCTTCTTTTGGCACACCCTGTAGACACTTGAAAAGCCTATGACTTTTTTTCAATAAGGGAAACAAGAAAAAGACCATAGGGACTCAGGTCCGATGAATAAGCTAAGGGAGATAGTACCACTGTTTCCTTTCTAGGAACTCCTGAACAAGCGCGTACTTGTGAGCAGCTACATTGTTTTGAATTAAGCAAAGGCCTCTAAGTCGGGAACTGATATATGAACAATAGCTCCTTCAGAATCGAGAAATATGGTATACAAAACTTTTCCCGCGCAATTTATTCGTTTGGCAATGACTGGTCTATTTTGGTCTTTGCATTACCATTGCTTATTCTTGACATGTTTCTGGGTCTCAAAATAATACACCCAATTTTCATTACGTGTAAGCAGTTAGAAACTTCTCCGATTGTCAAGTGTTTTGTACTTATAAAAGTATTTGGCATTTTTTACATAGGTGGCTTTTTGTTATGATGCAGAACCAATCGAGCACAAAGCTTTTTTTAGTTTTAACTCTTGAGTCAAAATCTTATAAACGGATCCCGATGATATACCAACAATATCAGCAATTTCTATATCTGTCATTTTGGTATCTTGTTGATTTAGATATTTTCACAGTAGCAACATAAGCTTTGAAAAAAGATCCTGGGCTGACCTGGACGAATGCAGCTTTGAAATGTTATATGTCACTATTAGACAACACAGAGACCCCGTGTATATAACAGTCATCATATATCTGTGAAGCTGACTAAGTAGACCCTTATTTTAAAGCTTAGCGCAGTTTTCATTGTACTTGCCGTAGTACAGCTAGTATAAATGACTTGATTAATTAAGCGAGACTTACCTGTAAGTTGAAGGTTGATCATAATTTCATCCTGTACAAATCTCCCTTACGGCTCACACAGACTACCGACGCAGCATCAACCACCAAGCTTGGTCAAACTTTAGAACAATGTCTTGCGTGCAAGAAATCAAAGCAGGAAACAAATCTAACGGGAAGGGTGGGTGGGCGTGTGAGCCCTAAGGGAGATTTGTGCTGGATGAAATTATGATCAACCTTCAACTTACAGGTAAGTCTCGCTTAATCAATCAATTTCATCCAACTGACTGTCAAGGTTAGGTTAACTTATTGTCAAAACTTTGTAATTGTCTCATGGATAGATTTAATTCTTATTCGAACACAATTACATAGAGGATATTTGTTTGTTTTGCATGTAAGATTGAAATATAATTTCACTGAGTGAACACCAGATGCAATATTTTCACGAGTGGCGTAGCCAGAAGTGAAAATATCATAGCTGGTGTTCACGAATGAAATATATTTCAATCTTATATGTAAAACAAATAAATTTTCTGTTTATTTCATGCTTTTTAAGTGATTTTAAGTATGTTTTACTGATTTTGCCGCGTAACGTCGCGCATTCTCCTTTGTGACGTCATCATATCATGACGTCACATCATCAATTTTGAAATACAGTTCTGTTAAATTTCCTTAATTTTGTTACATTTTTAACATGATTTATGGTGAGTTCGACTTACTTTTCCTAAAGAAGCAAAATTTACGTACGACGGCATTTATTTTTGCCTGTTATTCCATTTAGATATGATTTTCTTTTCATCCGCATTCAGATATAGTCCGGCTACAGTGAAAATTATATTTTATAAATTTCACTAGTGGTTTATCAGAATATAATCATCTGATATATTACAATAAAACACTGGAAAGCATGAAATAAACTGATGGCAAAACATATAAATCAAATACATGTACATGTATGTCAGTGACATATATTACGACCGTGCAATACCATTTTACGGAGTTGCAAAAAGAGGCACGGGTATGTATTAAATCTTTGTAATTCATTTACGCATTCAATTTATACTTGGATTAAACAGCATTCATGACAAAACCGACATGTGAGTAATTAAAATGTTACCTTAGAATGTCTATTGGTTATAATGCGCATGCGTGAGAATGGCGGTACAATTTTTTTTCTCTTGAAACTTGTGTGAAAAATAATAAATAAGCAATGATTTAAAGGATAAATTGGACTTTATTTGGTGTTAAACTATGGACTATTGTTCTAACTATTCAAGTGATTGGATTTATTGCTTTTAATGGGTAAGAAACGGAAAGATATTACACCTAACGAGAAAGACTCTCAGACAAAAAGGCAAACAAAAGGCGGAATGGCGGGCAATACATCTGCACAACAACATACTATGTCTACGAATATATCGACACCATTACCAGCAGCTTGCAATCAGGGTAATCAATCTTTTACGGTACCTCCTGTATACCCTTATACGCCAACATATATGAATCTTAACTCAGGGTCTCCTGTATTTCAACAAAATCAAAACCAACCTACTCAACAAAGCCAATCGAACCAGCATCATGAAATTTTGCAGTGTATATTACAAAGGCTGGACAATGTTGATCAGAAACTTAGTCAGTTAAATTCTATACAAAAATCGGTATATGATATTACTTCACGTTTGAATAGTATGGAGCAGAAAATGAGTGACATTGAAAATAGTCAGAAATTCATAAGCGAACAGTATGACACGCTTTCTACATGCACTACTGTAAACAAGGACAATATAACGCTTGTACAAAATGATATCAAAGTTTTGAAACGAGAAAATCGTGATTTGATAACAGAAAATAGATACATGAAAGATTCAATAATTGATCTCAAATGTCGCTCTATGCGTGACAATCTTATGTTTTTTGGAATACCCGAGGGCAAATTACAGTCAAAATCACCGTTAACAGGTATGGGTCAAGAAGTAGTTCATACGGAGGTCGTAGGTGATCAATATCTAGGCCATAGTGAAACCACATCAGCATGGGCAAACAGTGACGTAGCGGATGAGGCCAGTCAGTCAACGACATCGTCTGCTATACCGGATATGACGTCAGGTTTAAATTATGAAAATTGTGAAGCCAAAATAATAGATTTTTGTAAAAATGTACTGAAAATTTCGGAGGTTGATAACAAAGTACAGATTGATAGGGCTCATAGAATTGGGAAATTCGTTCACGGCAAAGAACGTCCGATCGTGGTTAAGTTAAAAGACACCGAATCAAAGCTTGTTATTAAAAGCGCGTTAAAACATGTAAACTTAAAACACAGTAATTATAATGTTACTGAGCAGTATCCCCAAGAAGTTAAAGAGAGAAGAAAGGCTCTTATACCGGAAATGATCGAGGCCAGAAAGCAGGGCAAAAGAGCAGTATTAGTGCGCGATAAACTCTATATAAACAATATATTGTTCGATCCGGAATCTCGTGGAGTACCAAATTTCTAGGACAGACGAGAAAAGTATGCCTTATCTATTGTATCGTGGAATATTGAAGGTTTAGGTAACTGTTCAAATGATGAAGACTTTTTGAATTTTGTTGTAAATTTTGATATTGTTTTCTTATGTGAAACTTGGCAAAAAATCAATAATGTGTACGAAATAGATGGGTATGAATGCATTTCAGTTCCCCGACCCGAAAGCTTAAACTCAAAAAGAGGTCACGGGGGTGTATGTTTATTTTACAGAAGTCGTTTAAAAAGTGGTATTACAGTAGCTGAAATAGACAATAGTGGTGTTATATGGGTTAAACTGTGTAAATCTTTTTTCAATTTAGATAGTGATGTTTACCTTTGTTGTTTATATATCCCGCCCAGTAATTCTATATATTTTACCATGCACGAAGAAGGCTTTTTTGAATTATTAGAAAGAGGCGTGAGAAAATACTCTCTTTTAGGAAAAATTGCCGTGATTGGCGATGTAAACGCTAGATGTGGCGGTAAGAATGATTTTATTCAAAAATGTTCGCACTATGATAAATTTATTTCTGTAATTGATAAAAATAGCGACGGTGATGATTATCAATTTGTTAATATCCCTTGTAGACTTTCAATGGACCCTGTTGTAAATACATCTGGAAATCGATTGTTAGAAATATGTCAAAGCAGTAATTTATATATTATAAACGGGAGAGTTGGCGATGATGCCGGGACCGGAAGTTTTACTTATTTGTCAACGAACGGTAATAGTTTAATTGACTATGCTATATGCTCGGAGGATTTATTTCCCCTGGTTTCAAATTTTATAGTACATGATTTATATACTTTTTCACCACATTGTCCTATCCAAGTTGATTTAAATGTAAATAGTTATGAACAATGTAATGTTACAAATAATTCTACATTATGTGAAAAAATTGTATGGGATAATGAAAAAGTTGATTATTACCGAGACGTTATTTCTGCTGAGCTGTCTAATATAAATGACATTGTTAGTTGTATTGTTTCAAAAGAAACTAATGTTAGCGCTGGAATAAATGAAATATCTAATATTTTGTATGATAAAACTAAAAGTGTTTTTGGTAAAACTACGTGTAATAAAAATAATACATGTGTTAGAACGTATAAGAGCCCATGGTTTAATAAAGAATGTGAGACCGCTAGGCGAGAATTTAGGACTGTTAATAAATCTCTTAATAAGAATAAATCTGTAGTAAATTTTGAATTGTTAAAAAGTAAACGACGAGTATATAAAAAAGCTAAAAGAAAAGCACGATCTGAGTATAATGGGAAACAGAGGAAAAATCTACAAAATTTAGCCAAGCACCAGCCTCAAAAGTTTTGACAAGAAATACGAAAAATTAAAAACAACAAATCTAAAGCTGGAGATATTTCTGAAGAACATTTTTTCAATCATTTTAAAACATTATTTGCGGAAAATAGTGCTTTCATTAATAATGAGGTTGAGGATGAATTGAATCAGAAAAGTTTAGATGAAAATGTTATTGAACAACTTGATAAAGAATTTAGTATTGTTGAGATAAAATCAGCTATTTCTTCTTTGAAAAGAGGTAAAAGTGGGGGTGTAGATATGTTGGTTAGTGAAATATTTATAGAATGTAGTGATCTTTTACTTCCTTCTCTTTATAAATTGTTTAATTTTATGTTTCTGAATAGTGTTTATCCTGAGATATGGACAAAAGGTATGATAGTTCCAATCCCCAAAAAAGGTAATGCTGATGATGTAAACAACTATAGAGGTATTACCCTTACCAGTGTTTTTTCTAAAATATTTTCTTCAATGTTAGATACACGTTTGCGCAAGTGGGCCGAAACTAACAATTTGTTATCGGAGTACCAGTATGGGTTTCGTAACGGCAAAAGCACCATAGATTGTATTTTTGTTTTAAATTCTATAATTAATAAAGTTATTAATAGTGAGAAAAAGAAATTATATTGTGCCTTTATTGATTTTCGTAAAGCATTTGATGTTGTATATAGGAATGGTATATGGTTAAAATTATTGAATTATGGAGCTTCCTCTAAAATTGTCAAAATGTTAAAAGCTATGTATGAAAATGTTAAAGCATGTGTTAGAGTTAATGGGTCTGTAACTGATTATTTTGACTGTAATAATGGTGTTAAACAAGGCGAACCATTATCTCCTTTGTTGTTTATCTTTTTTATCAATGATATGTATGAATATTTGTATGATGATAATGTTGAGATGTTTACGTTAGAAGATATGAAATTATTTCTGTTATTGTTCGCCGATGATACAGTTTTGTTTTCATATACGAAAAGTGGTTTACAATTGTTACTAGATAAACTATATATGTATTGTCATGAATGGGGAATCACTGTTAATCCAGAAAAATCAGTTGTTATGATATGTAAAAAAGGTACTAGACAAGAAAATGATGTATTTATGTATAATGACCAAATTTTGAAATGTGTTAATAAATTTACTTATCTAGGTGTATCTGTTTCGTCAAACGGTAGCTTGTTTCAAGCACAAAAATCTTTGTCAGAACAAGCTTTAAAGGCACTTTACTCACTTAATTCACTTTTTGATAAGGTATCTCTAGAAATATCGGAAAAGTTAAAATTATTTGACTACATGATTATGCCTATTCTCAATTATGGTTCTGAAGTATGGGGTTTGCATAATGCACCAGACATAGAACATGTTCATAAAAAGTTTTTGAAGCAACTTCTGGGTGTAAGACAGCAAACAGCAAATGCTGCTGTATATGGTGAATTTGGAAGGGTACCATTGTTAATATTACGCAAAATACGTGTTGTTAAATACTGGTATAGAATAATTAAACAGCCTGATTCTCTTATGTATAAATTGTTAATGATGAAAGATAGAAATAATCAATATGTTAATAAATGGTCGATTGATGTTAAAAAAAGTGTTTCAAAATTTAGGATTTGCTAATATTTTTGATAATCCCAATGTTATTGATTTAAAAACCATCATTCAACGTATATATGATCAATATAATCAACAATGGTTATCGGAAATTAGTAATTCATCAAAATTAGAGACGTATAAGATTATAAAAGATAGTTTTGATTTTGAAAAATACCTTTCTTTAGTAATAAATCCAAAGTTTAGAAAAGCTTTGTCACGATTTAGATGTTCAGCACATAGACTTATGATAGAAAAAGGTAGATTTAGGAATATTGACAGAGATCAGAGAATTTGTTTAAAATGTAATATGAATGAAATTGAAACAGAATATCACTTTTTACTTGTTTGTCCATTTTATAGGGAATTAAGGAAAGAACATTTACCAAAATATTATTGCTCTTGGCCTACCTTACATAAATTTATATCTTTAATGAAAAATTCTAAGCATGGAACTGTTAATAGATTATCAAAATATATCTACTTTGCAAATGTATTACGTGATAGAACGAATGATTGATTGTTTTCAAATACTGATATTGGTATACAAAGAATACTATTATTTACAAACATATATATTGTTATACATTAGATATGTGTTCTTTACAATATAAGAATGTTAATGTAAAAATTATTTGTATTCAGTTACATACTTTTCTCATATACTATTTGTAACCGTCATTCTGTTTATGGCGACGGACATTGTAAAATGTTTATGCCTTTTGAAATAAAATCTTGAAATCTTGAATCTTATGACCATTATGTTCAAGCTCTTTCATTTAGTTTTAATTATTATAACTTCGTTATTCATTTACGACTTTGACTATTTTCTTACCATACTTTGACATAACAACATTGATGACAAATCGACATGGTGAATTTTTTTAAGGTTAACATATATCTTTAAAAAGTCTTTACCGTCAATGTCAGTTAATTGAACTTTGCTGACATTGTGACGACTTTGTTTTATCATACTTGAAATGAAAAAAATATGCTGAGTAATTTAAGTATGATATTGATCTTATTAACACATTGACCGTAAAAAAATATTGAAGTTGAACAAAACAATATTACGTTATCACGAACTTTTTCAAACTTGGACTAAACAAATGCTTTTTGCAAAGCTAATACATTGTACGTTGAATAAACATTGACTTTAAAGTGGCATACATTGCCTTTGATTAGTTTTCTGAAATTTTCATTAGTTTTTATAACTTTGTTATAAATGAACAGATTGGATCATACTGGGACAAAACAACTATTATGACAACGCTAACTGTTATGGTCAAATATGAAATTTTGTACAAAACAATGATGTTTTCTTTGAAAACTCTTTACTCTATATTCATTCTCTGATGTGTTTGCTTTTAAAAATGAGAAAAGTTTGACAGTTGTCCCCGCACTGCAATATCACTTGTTAACTTGTGTCACTATGGACGTACTAGATTTTAAAATATCTTTATATGATTGGCATCAAAATAAGGAAATGAGTCAAGTCGAATTCCAATTAATCCGTGTGTGATACCAAATGAAACTTTATTCGAGGAACAACTTATGAATTAACGCAATTTTAATCGGATATTGGCAGAATTATGACCCCCTAAGTAGGCAAGAAATGTAAATTTTAAATCTTTGTGATGTTTAACAGTCATAATGAACATTTACCCACTTTTGTAATTTGTCTCAAATTGAATGGAGATTAGCTGAGTTATGGCCAAAAGCGTATTTAGCATAAAAGAAGCATATATGAGAAACATGACAGCCCAACACTAGAAAATATTACTGCTTTATCTTCGCTGGTCATTAGGGCATAACAATCATTTTGTTTCTTATGGTGTAATCTTGTACATTTGTGTCCACTACAAAGTTAAATATGTCATCCAGTATAAATTGGTTTATCCAAACGTGAGCAGAACCATAACCATGCATGTAATAGCATTTAAAATCTAAATAACTAATTTGAGTTACCGTTCGAAACCATTATATGCATTGTAAATGCATGGGTCATCTTTAAAATCTGCTTTATTTTGTGAATCTAACTTAATGATAAATCTTGTTTCAAACAGTCTTATATATATACTGAATATATTATTGATATTTTGAAAACAACGATTTTCGAATACAGTGTACTGTTAAGCTCTTTCAGTAAAGTTTTGATAATTTTGATACGACAGGAAGTATATTTTTCTTGATACATAAATGCAAACAGATATAAATAAAAATATATTCTAGCTATTAAAAGAAGAGTATAAAATCATTTTAGAACATATCTGAAAAGTTACTGAACAATGTTTCAGTAAATATGTCATTTGCTGGCTTTCCATTGTTAACTACTTCGTACAGAGAAAAAAGGCTTCCTCGTCAATCTCAATCAATGATGATTTTCCATTGATTTTGAAGTTAGCATCAAGCAATGCTTTTTCAATACTTTCTCTTCCCCAGCAGGCACCATATCCTATATGAGGTTCTCCTGACATACTGGATTGTAGACATATGAAAGTGCTAGCTGCATAATACAGTGCAGCACCTTTATCATCTGCATTGTCGACTGGGTTGCTATGGAAACCCAGTTCTATGAGGCTGAAAAAGCCATCTTTCTTCAATACTTTGTAGATTTGTCCTAGAGCTTTGTGGGGGTTTGGTAAATCATGTAGGACGTCATACACAAACACATAATCGAAACTTTCTGCCCATTCATCCGGTAAATTGTGCGCATCCCCTTGAGTGAATGTGACATTAGTTAACCCCTTTTCCTGTTTGTGTTTGTTACCATGCTTTATACCAGCTTCCGAGTAATCTAAACCAATGAACGTGGACTTTGGGAATCTTTGCGCCATTGCAGTGACATGGTTACCAGCTCCACATCCTAAGTCGAGAACTTTGATGCCAGATTCTAAAATATTTTAAATACTAGTACATGTATATGTTATCTTAAAAAAACAACAATGATCAAATTTTCAGATACTGAAATAACTGCTATATAACAATTTGAATGTTTAATGTGCCCAAAGACAAGTCTGTCCATGTAAAATTCTTGAGAGGAATAATTCTAGGTTAAAAGTGACATAGTAAAATTCTTTTCCGATCAAAGACTTAAAAAAGAATACTAGCAAGGATTAAGGTTAGAACAACAAACATAAGATTAGGTAAAGAGGATGGTCATGAGTAAATGATTGTGTGATCAGTCGCTAAAAGGCCAAGGTCAACGTTGCCTTTACCACATAAAGTATGCCTGACCAAAGAGAAGGGAAAGCTCTAGGCCTACAGTCCCAACATTTGATGTTTTTTTTTAAAAGACTGGGCTGGACTGGAAATATTTTTTCCGGGATTTAAGCCTGGAACAAAAACTTGTGTGCACTTTTTCAGAACATTCTTTCGCCACCATTTTCTCCAGAATAATCATTTTTATTGCGCAAAATGCCCTTAAAAGAAAAGTGTTGCAACGCTTTTTACTCAAATAATGGTTAATGGTTAACATCTCACAAAAGTAAGTCGATATTCAATTAGATTATGAGTCAATTTCTTTTTATGCGCTATCTTTTGTTTGTTTGGCTTTAACGGCGACACTGACACATTACTGGTCATACGCGCAGAAAAGTGTAATAAGTAAGGCCTAAAATGAGTTTTTTACAAGTGAGTTAGATAAATCTTAAAATACAAGTTTAGGTCCTTTAAGTTATCAATCAGGGTTAAAAAAAAACTCTAAGTGAATTGACTCAATTAAATCTATCTCGAACATGTGCAAGAACATGGCATTCAAATATGGAAATATTTGACAGAAAAAGATTCATTGCAAGCTATACAAAATGGAGCATCGTTTCTTATCAAAACGTTAAAAAGCTAAGAATGTATTACTCTTGAATGTCCAATTATGCATATAACTTGATCACGACGGTAAAGGGGAGACAGAGATGGTATTTATCACAAGGGTTGATATCATGAAGTTTGTTAAAAACAGCCTTTTGTTTTCAGTCGGTCAAAGGTAAAGGTCACAATGACATTGATTGGACACAAAAAAAATTTCTTAACAATAGATAAAGAATGCTTCGATCTACAGTCCTATGATTGGTCATGACTAGTATGTTAGATATTTTGATGCCGGTAAGTCAAAGGCAAAGATCACTATATCGTCTTGAACACGAACAACTGAAGAAAGAGTAGGCCTTAATTTTTTAGGTTTGTTCAAAGGTTGGTCATAACTAGTAGATGGGTGCTATTGACTTAAGTTAGTTTAGCTATGTGTCACGGTCATTGTTGCCTTGAACACAAAACGCATATGTCAGGTTTGTTGTGGAGGCAGATAACCCATGTTGATTTTGGAATCAGTCGGTCAAAAGTCAAGGTTACCAATCGGTCACATTAAAGAACTCGTATGACCAACAAAATTAGAACGCTTAGGTCTACTGTCCTTATATTTTGTGAGGAGGTGTGTCATGACTATATGGTTGGTTTAAACATATTTATTTTAGCTCGATTGCGAAACAAGTTCTTTCAACTTATATTAATCACTTTCGAGTCCGCTTCCTGGAACCAACCAGTATACTGGTGTCATATGAAGAAACATGGTCGTGACCCGAATAGGGCTCAAACCCATGATCTCTGGGTTGAGAGGCAGACATCATAACCACTGTGCCACCGCTCTCCTCGTGACTATTTGATGGACCGTATTGACTTTGTGTCATGACTTATTGTGTTCTATCAGGAGAACATCCATGTTTCACAAAATATCTTGTTTTTTACTCTTAAAGTTTTAACTTTTATTCAGTCAAGACTGCTAACAATACGTACTCAGTCTCGAAACCACTCCCTGCTGGTCTAGCAAAGGTATAATTTTCTTGTCTACTGTCTCATCGCACATCAGTGCCCTATAACTATTTAACCAATGCAAAAACTCGGAAGCATGTTCATCGTGGTAACTTATACCTGAAATAGAACCACAATCATATTTAAAAAAAGAAACTGCGAGTCGAAGAATGCATTGTACATTATATAATTATATAACAATTTGCATTGATAAGTAGTGCGTTCTTTGAAATTTTTGGACTTTTGCTATGTTGATGATTTGTATTTATCACTTTGAACATCCATACTTATGTTATTTTATTATTTTAATTACAATACTATATATGCCTTAGGATTTAATAAAATCCTTATTTTGATATAGAATTAACAATATTAAATTAACAAACATTGATGAGGTAGAAAACGAGAATATATTCATAATGATTAATCCATGAAAAGACATTCCGTTTATAAAGAAAATCTGAATCATTATAAATAAATTGTCTTGAACATGTAAGCGAAAACTCTTTTAACATGTATTCTGTTTAGAAACAAAACTTGTCAAGAAAACACAAACTAAGTGAAAGTTTGCCAAATCAAAGGTTATAATATTTATAAGTAAGTTTCATGGAAATATGTTAAGCAATGCAATTACAAAAAGTGGGGTTTCATTTCCGTTCCTAATCTATTTAAATTAGCTTGTTTTAAATATTAAATTTAAAAGGAGGTTGCAGTGGATTTGCGGTACACTTGTCTGTCTCAAAAGACAAGGGATCGTACATTCAAGCGACCGACATGTCTCGTTTGAAAAAATATAAATAAGTTTCCCTAAAATATCTAATTGAAACACATAGAAAGTATTTAAAATAAAAGTGTTTTCTAACTCTGGAATCGTTGGTTCGAGCAACCACGTTTCCATTTATGACACTGTTATATTAATTTAGAATGATAGTAAGATTACTTCATTTTGTGTATACTTTAACTCATGTTGTTATGTGAGAATGTCTGGTATTAGAGAGGCAAAGGCATAATGTAACTACAATAGAGACCACTTGCTGTTTTATAATGGCCATTAAAATGTGGTAGTTTCAGTAACGAAGTATCAATTAAAGGTTATGAGTGAAGGGAAGTTACACCATGAGAAGTATGAAATATTATTAACCTTCAAGCCCAACTTCTCGGCCCTTTCCGTCAGACTTTAGATATACAATAGTATAGAACGGATATTGTATTTCGGCCCAATCGGATTTGATTTAAATAAGCTGAATAGAGCTTGAATATAGATCGTTCAGCACTATTGTTGTGTTTGTGGTACTTTAGTTCTTTCTATTTGGCTTTTTCGACATGGATGGTTTCAGTATTCCTTTCTTGAGTACTGTTTCATCACCCGTGCTTTTTCACAGCTAATCTGTGACCATTAAGTTGCAATTCCGAGGTCCATATCTGAAGATTGACGGAAATGACCGAGTGGTTGCGATTGACATATTTACACATCTGGCATTCCTGAAAAGCTGTAAAGCTATAAAAAATGCCATTTTGTGAATGAAATACAAAAATAATCAGATAAAATTATCAAAAATAATAGAAACACGAGTGTTCCTGCTGCCTATTTGCTTTGAAAAATGAATGCTTTTACCATAAGGACCGTCCTTTTTAAAGGCCTCTTTTACCGCCTTCGACCTCATCCCCATAGCAAATAAAGCCGGCGAAAACCCCCATTTTTTGTCAAATGATGTCTTTTATTGCTGGGGACTGTGAAAGGGTTAGAATCCTGCCCTGTTTTATGATACAGCTCCCAACCATTGTTGAAAACCCTTTCCCCTCGTGAAACCTAAAAAATGGAAGAAGTTTTAGTGATATTCATTGACTAACTCATCAAACATTACATTGCTGACAAAAATATATGCATACATTAAATTTAGCTATTTTAGAGACGGAATTCTGTATTGTTGTGTTGTATCTTCTTCATGTCTTGAACACAAATCTTCCATCGCTTTGCCAATTTAGTTTATATTTGATTTGTAAACTTTTTCTTTCAGCCATCATTGAACGAAAAGCTCTACATAAACTGATGGCGGACACACCAATATATACTTACAACTTGAAATTGTATACGGTGTATAGATAACTCAAATTTCTTTTTTCTTTTGTATAAAGGATTGCATTTGTTTGTATATAAACGTTTTTAAAAAATTGGATATCGTAATGTCAGTTAACACAAAACGTATGATCAAGGTCAGATATAAATCGAGGTCTTACGTCGGAAAGTGTTCAAAGATGAATGATCATTTATGACAGTTCTACAGATATCAAACTTTTGAAAATCTAGTCATTGGTTGCTAAGGGAATTTAACTAGATAGCAATCCACAAGACAATGTATCATATCACATAGTTAAGGTCAGGACATTTCTTGTTAAGAGAACAGCAAGTTTTTATTGAAGATCCATGACCCCTGGTTGGGTCAATTTTTTCTCTAGGGTGATGATAAGAAAACTATAAGGGCCCAACTATACGATGCTTTATGTAAAATATCTCATCACAAGGCATTGCGCCTCCAAAAAAGAAGATTTTTAAGTCTTTGTAAGCTCCTGTAACCTGCGATGTTTCACATTGCATATTTACTGAATAAATCTTTTGACTTGACTTTTGGGTATATTTTTGTAGCGGATCACCGAAGAAAATTCCTGTAAAGTTTTGTCAAAATTCATTAAGTGGTTTAGGAGAAAATGTTGTTGAAAAATGTGGATAACGATGTACAACGGACGACGGACATACTGCTTTCACAAAATCTCACATCTGAGCATCTTTGCGCAGGTGAGATAAAAATTGTTTTTATTACCTCTCTTTAAGATCTAACTTCTTGGCCACTTCTTCACTGCTGATAGGTTCCTTAGCTTCACACATGACCTTGAACAATCCAAGGTCATGCCCAATGCCAATTGATAGCATGATGAACCCATCTTGAAATATGTTTGTAAAATATTTGCCAAATTCTGCTTTTTCCATTGTTGTTAATCAAAACTGTGCATGAAAAATATATGTACATTAGAACAAAATGATATAATTTCACTCAGACATAATTTTCTTTTTAAAACTTTGTATACGTAAGATAAACGATGCCATAAATTGGTTTTCTCCAACACTTAATTACAATATCGAAATCTTCTTTAACTTCTTTGGTCAAAATTTTATTTTAAAATACCAAAAAAAAAACAATAAAAGAAAACAAAGAAAATCGCAATACTTCTATTGTCGCAAAGTTTGGCCAAGAAAAACACAACTTTCATATTTAAAAGCATTTGAAAACAATAACTCCTTCTTTTTAAAACTTTGTATGCATAAGAAAAATGATGCCATAAATTGCTTTTCTCAAACACTTAATTAAAAGAATCGAAATATTTATCTTTTATTTAAAATAACAACAAAAACCAAAGAAAACTAAGAAAATCGCAATATTTTTGTTGCCTTAAGATTTGAAAAAAAACTCATATTTGAAATCGTTTTTTAATACAATAAATACTGCTTGAACAACAACTCATAATCGCTAGTATTTAAGATGTTAAAATTATGATATTGTAAAAGTCGAATAAATCTAGAACATTGAATTTGAGTTTGAGAAGGTGTAACAAAAATATCACAGTGTATACCTTCAAACACTAAAACATTCTCACAGCTTTTAACTTGATATTGTCATTTTAGTATTAAAATGGAAAAATCTTTTACCTGAATTATTAAACTATAGTAATCCGTTAAAATTGACGTGAAAATATTTTTATTCTGAAAGTCTATTATGACCCTACTTAAAATAAACTTTATACCCACGCACGTTAACATATGTATAGTGTTCTAAATAGAACCAGACCCTCAAACAACAGTTTCTTTTAATGTGTACTGTACAAGTGTATTATAAGAACTAACTAATAAATATCAGAGATGCATAGCAAGGATTGTACATATGAGGCGGGGCTTATAATAACTGACAGCAGCACACAGCATTCTTCCTTTTCTTCAGACGGATAATATACTTTACTATAAGAAAAAGTGCTAACAATGAATTGAGCGTTTGGAACTAAGGAACTGACCACTTAATGTTTATATTCTCACGGGTCAAATCAAAGGCAATGACTGTCTTTATGTGTAACTGACATTGAACATTTACCAGAGTTTCAGGTATGAAACAAACAAAACTAAATCAATCAATCAGGTACAGCGTTACAAACCCACAAAGTATCTGACAGTTAATGTTTTTTTTTAGAAATTTACGAATGTCTGCATACTAATATAAGAAGCCTTGCAGAATCTTAGGTCAAATTCAGGTCCTCATGTGCCAGAGTGCTGTTGACTGATAAATTTCAAGGAGAAGTTATTTCACATAAATCAGACATTTATTGTTATCATAAGCAGAATACATCTAATATGTTTCAGATATTTGTGATTTTTTTAATTAAGGATATTATGTATTAGTAAATAAAATAAAGTAAAAGGTTATAAAACTACTACTTTATCTAATAAAATATTTTTTATAAAATTCAAAAACGGTAAAATGATGTTTCCGTATCAGGGTCGGTTCTCTTAAGAGTTGAAACAAAGAATGTTTCTTTCATTGAAAACACATAAAAACTGTGCATTAACATAATAAAATGTTCCGTAACAAAATATTATGCTGCAAATTTAAGTAGGTTTTCTACCGTTTAGCAATGATTTTGTGCATGCGCCTTCACTCAAAATGAAATAAACATGTACCAACATATCTATTTCATACAGGCATTTTGGAATATTATACTTTTTCAATTTTAAATTGAAAAAAATGCAGGCATCAGAGATATAGCTCTATACAATTTAATAGATTTTAATGGTGGTTTTCAAATAGGCAAAACACAGAAAACACAATGTCATTACTTATATATATAATTAGATTTCCTAAATACTCATTGTGGAGAAAGAAAAGCCCTGGCAACTAACAAATAATATTATTTTCTCTCCATTATACATTTTATAAAAATGACCAAGCGTTTTGCCACATAGACTTTTTTATGTTGCGTGACAAGTTTGATTGTTTAGTATACTGTGCTCCTCTTAGTTCACGGTACTTAACGTTTTGAAGCAAGAAAGAAAACAACAAATGAAACTTATGGTACAACAATTGTCATAAGCTGTAACAAATAGGTATTTCTGCTGTATGGCACAAGGAAACAACAATATATTTAGTCAAAATCAGTTCAAATGAGCCAGACGTAGATCATATGTCGGCCCTTTTGAAAACAGAATGTCATCATTTAAATTGCTGTAATGGTGTTTTATTTCAGTTTTTTCATGTTTCAGTTAAAATTTCTACATGTTACTTTGCATAATTTTAAATATTATAAGTATCTTTACATTGTAACTCAAAATTTATTTTTTCAACAAACAAGAACATTTTGAAAATGATGATTGTTTCAGACATATGTACAAATTTAACGGACTATTGTTGCTTTTTGCAGAAGTTTGTAAAATGTTTTACTGTTTTACGTAAAAATCTATAGATTTAAAATATTTTGCACAAAAACTTTGTTGTTTAGGTGTTTGAATAAAATATGTAAATTCTGACCAATTTTAACACTGATCACATGAAAATATGCCATTACCGTGAAATAAGTGATGACGCGGAATTAGAATTAGAACTTTGGCTATTAATAGACATCCTTCTGCCCCCAGAGATAACCTTTGTTCAGTAAAGATATTAGTAATTTTGAATGGCGTCTATACGTTTATGATCTGTTATTTCCGGCGTACAGTTCGTTTATTTCACTCTGACACCCTATCCAAGTGTAAGCAACTTACTTTAATCTCAAGTCAAACTTACTCAGAGCACACTCTTTTGGAATTCCATGATTAAGAATACTGATTTTCGGAGTGGGGTGTTTGTTAGTTTGTTTGTTGTTAACAAATTTACAAGAAACATTTATTTAGTATAAAATCTGCGACTTTTCACTCGAACACATTAATTTATCTTTCGTTGTTGTTGTTGTTGTTTTCTTTTAGTTTCTAATTAGAAGGTTCTTGCGGCTGTTTATCGGTTATACATTGGTCGATAGCGTCGGCTGACATGTAAATACGTTTCAATGATTGCCTAAAACTGGTTTAAAATGTGATACATTGTGATTTATCGTTTTTTATAATTGTATTTTGCAGTTACCTTTAAAAGTCACGTCGGTTTTCGGCAGGGTTTAAAATTAATGTCTCAGTTTATGTAATTTGTCTCTATCTCGAACGGAAGTGTCTATCTTATGTGAACTTCGGTAGCTTTGTGAGAAGCGCTCTTCTAAACAGTGTTCGCTGTGAGTTACTCGATCTGTTGCTGAATGTTGTGTGTTTTTATAGTTCAGCAAAAAAATATTTAATTATGATTATGATGTAGTTTTTGCCAGGCTGTTTTTACTGCTTTTTCACGCGGCTGCATGCCAAATGGATGTAAAAGTGTAATCTTACGATGAATTAATCCTGCTTGCTCTGCAAATTGTTTGAATGCGTAGCTATTAATGGGCGGCCCGTTTGTCTATACGAACAACAGAGACCATGCCGAACATTAAAATTATAGCATCTCGCTTTGCCAGGTCTGGTTGGCTTTCAGAGACGTAAGTCTTTCGACAACGGGATTGCCGCTGTAGTCATCAACTATAAGCATGAACTGATGACCTGATGGGAATGGACCACAGAAATCTACGGAAATTTCACTCCAAACAGCATTTCGTGACTTATCTTTACTGGATCAGGAGTTGTTTTTGTAGAAGCAGCCTGACACGGTATACAATTCTGAACAACATAATCTACAAGTATATCCATATACGGTACCAGATAGTTTCACGCAGGAACGCCTTTCATTATATTTTTACCGGGTGACCCTCATGAGCTAGATCTACAACGCATTCTTGCAGTTCTTGCGGATCGCATATTTTTGTGCCTGGTAGCAATACAGTTCCCTTTTTCAGTATGCGATATCGATAGTTCATTTGGTAATTGTTCATAGCATTTTAATGCATCCGCTTTACTGATCTTTTTTGGCCGTTTCCATCTGTTTGTTGACAGAGCGTTTATCACACATTTGATTATGCAATCATCTTGTGTAGCCTTGCTACCTTAGCCATATCTGATAGGCGGAGTGATTTCAGCAGCACATGTTTGGTTATACATTTCACAAGTTAATCAACTGCTATTTGAGACTCATTGTACTTTTATTCATGTTGGTCACCTCATTGTGTCATTTTTGTTCATGGAATGAGAGAAATTAATGTTTTATTTTTTGACTTTGACATAATCGGCCGCCATGCTCTTGGAACAATGATAATTCTTTTCGTGTTTTGGTCGGGCAAAAACTCTCCGACAGCAAATGTTGATAGAACATATCATTTTGTCGATTTGACAAGACAAAACGATTATTTGACATCATTTAAAATAAGATAAGTCATCATTGAATTCGATCAAGGAAACATAAATGTTTGACCAAATAAGACAGTGTTTGTTTAGATAAGTCAGTACAATATTTCGATAAGACAACGTTTGACATAGAAAATTTTTAGACAAGTTTTGTTTGTTTGTTTGTTTGTTTTATTAGGTTTTACGTCACACCGACACAGTATACGTCATTTGGCGACGTTCCAGCTTTACTGGTGGAGCCTTTCCATGCATTATTTCAGGCACGAACGGGCACCTGAGTAGAACCACCGACGTTCCCTGTCGGGATTCGAACCCACAGCGGTGAGGGACAAGTGGTTTGAAGGTAAAGTCCTTAACCACTCGGCCACGGACGCCCCTATTTAGACACGTAAACACCGACTGAACTTGGACAAATTAGCATGACCGTTACAGGAACAGATTAAGAAATAGAAATGTCCATCTGTGTTGCTTAAGTTTAAAATCAAATCCTTTACCGAAGGGGTGGGGTGTGGCAGACTTCCCAGAAAAAAGTGAATGTATATATTAGATGGTGGCTTTTGCACATTTTAAAATACACGTGCCACATTTCTCCATCAACATTCAGTCTTTCGCCCATGCAAAGTTCTTTCCTTGAAATGTTCACTTAATATTAATACTAGTGATGTTGTACAGTGTATATTGTTAAGCCCTTAAAGAGTTTACTTTGAAATGCGTATCGGTTAATATTTAACATTTTTGCTTTCGTTATTATTATTATTATTATTATTATCTAGATAAAAGATTTCATGAATAAGGCACAGCACATATTGCTGACCAGTTAAATGCTTTAAGTGAATGCAATGTCTGCAATACTATAAAAAATTATGTTGCCAAACAAGACAACAAACAACGCAGAATTATATATGAATGTTGTTGGTAAGTGTGACATTCATGATCAGATATATCCGACTAATCTACTTAATCATGCTTTAAACTGAAATAACATCCATAGATATTCAAGTTATGAGCCCTTAAAAATCTTTATTGCAAATTAAATTGTCATTCAAACGCCAGACCTTTTACGTACATAGCTTTTAATATTTTTAGTCTCTTGTCCCCTACACTGACCAAGGTCATTATTACGAGTATATGATCTAAATATTTGAATTGGGTGTAATTTTAATTTTGTTAAAAAAGAATAGATTCATCAATTGAGCATATAACAAATACTATCAATTGCCTTAGTCATCATCTTACTGATTTTAATCACTATTACTACTGGAATTATTGGGTAATTTGAGACTCCTAGTAGGGACATAAAAAGACCGTGACAACATAAGACAGTTGTGGCGTTCCATAGCTATAAAACACGTAAACTGTAATTTGATAACAATATGCATGCCCTACATTATCATATATCCTTTAATGAATAAATAGCAAAGTAGCATATAACTTTGATATGACTGTGGGTATGTTACTTTAATCTAT